GCCGGGCCAGCGGCAGCTTGGAAAGGCAGGGCTGCTGACACCTGCGAGCGTGCAAGCCCCCGCGCATTCAGCGGGCGGCCTTGCTGCCTTGCCCTAGGATAGAGCCAGCTGTGAAAGCGGGCATGAGCGCTACACCCCTGCTCCGAGCCGAGTGCGCGGGGTGATGGACCCTTCCGGTCAGGGCACAAGCACCGCCCTGGGGACTGCCCTGGTGAATGCAGCAGGCTGCATCCTGTACAGGAATTCAGCAGCGCTGCCAGCCAGGCAGTAGCTCTTCAGGAGCTAAATTCATCTGTGTTTTACACCGCAGAAGCTTTCTAATAAAGAAATGCAGATCGTTAGCACCTGTCTAATGTTCTGTCAGGCAGGACGCTACCACAGGAGGCTGCCTGGGAGGGAAAAGTTTCATTGCTTTTCTACTCTCCTATCGTTAAAAAAATACTAGGAAAATACACTTATTAGAGAATCCAGGTAATTAATATAACACACTGAAGACTCAAGGGGGTTTTTTCCTCAACTTCAGAGTAGTGCTTGGTTAACTGCGCATGATTTAAGTTTTCCTTGCAACATTTTAATTCCAAATAAACTGGTTTCTGCTGCTATACTTGTTTAAGGGACCCATAATGCACATTTATTAATAAAACTTGATTCCATAAGCCTTTAGGAACACTTTGAAAAGCATGAATAGCATTGAGACGTCTAAATTCCACTTCTACTTTGTCTTTCTCTTTTCCACCCTGACTCTTCACTCATCTTTTCTCCTGTTTTAGCACGTGACAAGCAGAGGCCTGGTGACTTGTCTCACACAGTTCTGCAGTTGGTGCTTTTGCAGGTTACGTCACTGAAAAGGACGCCTTAAAATGAACAGGAACAGTGGGCGTCAACAGCATGGGGGTATTCTGAGGGACTCGGGCATTAGGTGGACTGTGAAACTTGCTTTGTTTGGTGAAGACCAAAGCCAGTGCTTTACACACTGAACAGCTGGACCCATCTGTCTGCTCAGTATCATGCTTACTGGCATGAATAGTTTGATGCAGGATACTACCTGAAGAGTCTTTAGCACACAGCTGCGGTCAAACCAGTTTGTATGTGCTACCTGATCTATCAGGCATGGGGAACATGAGGTAGTTTATACGTTGGTTGTCATCACAGCTTTTACGTATTTCAGAGCATTTTTTCTTCTTACAAGTGTGTAGTTAAAACACTTGCTCTCACTAGCGGCCACTGACAGCATCATACCTGTGCCCTTGCAGGATCCAGACCGTAAAATACTACCGTGTTATTCGCAAACCTCGGCCTCAGTTCTAGGCTGTATTTCAGCACACACCTAAATACTTTCATTGAACAGCCACACCTTTCTAAATTGATACCTTAGTCTGAAGACAAACATTCTTCAAACATCAATTAGTAATGTTGGTGCTGGGCACCCAAATCATGCTCTGTAGGGTTTAAATGCAAGGACTGTGTAAATAAAGGTAAGCAACATGACAAACTACTTTTAGACCAGTGTTCCAAATGCAACACCTAGCCTAGGAAGGAAAATCTCTTTCTTTTTTCTGTGGTTTAATGTAGGGCCTTTAATAACTCCCACGAGAATATTAACAACTGTTTGACTGAGACGAAGCTGGTAGCATGGCCTTTATCCTGACTTTTTCTTCTCATTTTTACTTATCTGTAACTGAAGTTATTTGAACTGAAGCCAGACACAATATTTTGGTTGTCACAACAAATTATATTGCAGAGAAATTAATTCTGCAACATAAGGACATTAAAAAGTAAGCCTTCTTGTCCCTTATTCTCTGCAAAATTTCTCAAAATAACATAAACTGAAATAAACCAAGCAAAATTTAATATACTTGCCTCTAATTAAAAAAAGTTATCAAAAAGAGAAAAATTTAACTTGGAATACCTAATTTTTCAAACTATTTTTAGGTTTTCATAATGGAGTAATTAGCAAGAATGTTACTTAATCAAGCAAAATGACTATTTTAAATGCCTGACTGCTTATATAAGTAACAGAATCTTAAAGCCACTTCTCTAACGTCCTGTTCCAGTTTGCTTATGACTAGTTCACATGGCACACTCTAAGTCAAGTCTCAGATGTTGACAAGTCATAGTTGTGGGATTCAGCCCTGGTGTAATCTTTCAGGGAAGAGTTTAAACTAAAACGTACTAATGAATATGGTCGTTATAAGGCTCTTAAGGAATTACCAAAACATGCTACGTTCTTAAGTATCTGGGGCCAGATTCTTTTCAACCAGTGGAAAGGAGAACTGCCCTCAGATTGCACTGGTGCTTCGCTTTCATATTTCCCAGGTGCAGGTAAAGAGCAGAAGAAAAGCAGCCCCATCACTTTTTGTTAGGAAATAAGAGCATTGAGGTAATGAAAAAGAAGAGGAAATGTTCAAAAATAATCTGCAAATAAAGAAATATTCTGTCTGCTCAGCACTAAATTGAGCTTGTTAATCAGTACTCAAAGGGTTCTAGCAGGAGGACTGAAAACAAAAGCAGCACTGCTAGAGCTGATCAGCGACAAGCTCCCAGGTTTTTCAGTCCAGTTCCGTAAGGTCTGCCATGCCCCCCCCCCCAAGGGTACTGTGCACTTCACAGAAGGATGCCCATACACGCTCACAGCTGTACTGAAGCAGCATTCTCGCTACCACCTGGCTAAACGTGTCACTTAAATCCAAAGGGTACTATTAAGACAGTTACAATGGAAGCTTTTCTCTCTCATTACCTAATTCTGCCATGGACACAGTTGGAGAGGTCTCCCCATTTGTAAAAGAACAATAAGGGAAGAAGCCCGATGCTGGTGTGTAGTCACATATTGGTTCTGGTTTGATTCCATTAATATCAAGACCCGACTGATCTGGAGAAGGCTGTATGTCTAAGTAGAAGCTGCTAACTGCAGAGTCTGCTTTGCTACCTTCAGGGGTATGCCCATCAATGTAATTACTGAGGTCATCATGTAGCTCTGTTAACCCATTGGTGGTGATATTGTATGTTGGTGTTAGTGGTTCTGCCTCTCCTGGTTGCTGCTGATGATCTCGCTGCTGCTGCTGCATTCGATGTTTCTGCACCTCCGCATACAGGCTGTCCCTCTGCTTTTTTGACATTCGACCAAACTTTACAGCTGAAATACAGACACACAATATGTTACATTTCTACAAAGCCACTACTGCATTTTAATTGTCTTGGGTCTTTCAGTACTACACGGAAGGAGACATAAAAGAGGCAAATCAGCAGGACAGGCAGACCTAAGAATCACTTGTCAGTTACAGGTAACACAGCTGCTGCATCTACCTTTGAAAGACCCTTATAAGGTGCTACTTAAATGGACCATTAAACATCACTGTTTTAGCTGTATACTAAAAATACTTTATATGTCCGCTAATGTTGACAGATGCATCTTGTCAGCATCCAAATCCTACCTAGAAAAACAGAAGCTAAACCACATTATGTTGGCCTGAGATGAACTGTCAGTTCCTACCAGCTGTATAATCATATTGCAGAGTGAACCTAGAATTAGGTAGAAACGTGTCGGGGTCTATCTCAAAAGCATCAAAAGCAAGTTGTATTTATATTAGGACCGAAGCACATGGGAAGAACACCAGAACCCCCTTTCAGTGTGGCTGTGACAAGCAAAAACGTTTACCTGGTGACTTACTGTAAAATCTGTGTATATACCTGCAGGCATGCGTGTGTGCACGTATGTATCTCTCCACAGAACTGTTACTGCTTTGAGAATTATTAAGTGTAAGCCAGAAGCAACTGGTTTGCAACACCCAGGGAATTCCTAACAACATAGTATGTGGTTTCTGGGACCTGTATCAGTTGTACCACCTTGTACCTGTCTACAAAAAAGCAAACATATTGGAGTGAGTAGTGATCAACATGATCAACATGATCAACTATTTCAGGTTTTTAGTTTCACGCCCAATAAAAAAATTAAGATGCTGTAACGCAAGAAGTAAATGTGATCTGAAAACAGTCTCCTTATTCGGGCCTCGTACACAGAGTAATGCACATGTATTTGTAGAGCATATAGTGTTGCTGTCACTGTGGCAGGGCAAAAGACTGAGTCAGATCTTCAAACTGGGTGCATGACGGCAGCTTCGTTATATGTACGGGGGAGGTACACAAGTATCGGCTACAAATCCAGCCCTGAGTTATCACAAGCTTCCATTTCGCAGAGGTGGGCTTTCGTCATTTCACAAGGTGTAATTTTAAGCTTAATATTAACAGCACTGGAACACATTTTCTTCAGAATTCTCTCTTTGAAAAAACACCGCTATTCTTTCTTTGCATTTTTTCCAATATTCAATATACACGTTTAAAATTCTCATCATATTGTGACACAGTTCTGATCTGTACCAATATGGCCAGCAGTGTTACTTGCAGCAACACTATGTCCCTTAAACTGGAGGGAACACACAAAGTATTAACGTCAGACTAAAAACCCTATCTCCAAGAAGTGACGAGGCAAAGCTTTTAACTGGGAACTGTAATAGATGAGTAAGAAAAAAGTAAATCCAGGAACTACACACATGCCCTGATTCAGATACATATCTACGTGAATACACAGCAACATAGAAACCCCCGCTCAGTGATCCCCACCGTCAGCCCCGGCACAATTAACCTGTCAATCCTATGTTGTTTTAGCTGAACATGCAGCATACTAAACTTCACTTTCTGGAGTTCAGCTGTGCGTTAGCAGGGCTTACCATCTCGAGACATCCCCACAGCAAGGCATTTCTGTAATCGGCAGTGCTGGCAGCGGTTTCTGCTAGTTCGGTCAATCAAACAGTTCTTCTGACGGGGACAGGAGTACGTAGCGTTGCTTTGCTGACTCCTCCTGAAAAAGCCCTGTAAGAGAGTTGCAAAATGCAAGGCAAGAAGCTGTTAATTGAAGGAGCAAATACGGACTCTGAAAGGTAGCAGACCTTACAGAAATGAAGTTCAAGTGCACTACAGTCGACGAAGTTAAGAGCTGTAGAGTTTTTTTTTTTCTCCTCGAAACAAACCAACCCAGTAACTGGTAGGAAACAATTAAAAAAGTGTTATGCTGCATAAAGTTTTCACTGATTCTACAGAGCCCATACTACATATGGGACACCAGTTCTTTCCAAATGAAATAAAACTAATTATGGACCTAGATTTCCTATCTTTCCTGGGTCAGCACAGAACTCCAAAATCACGAGGATTCAACAGCTGCTACCCTGTTCGGCTCTTTGCAGATGACAGTGGGCAGGCTCTGGTGTTCAACCTCACCAGCAAATGCCTGTGTTTAAAAACACAGAGCATGATGCTGAGCAGGTCCTTCTACAAAGAACAACTTGGTAACTTTTTTTTTTATTATTAGTCTGCTGCTAATTTAAAAAAAAAAAAAATAGGGTTCTGTCCAACTCATCACAGGGTTTCTGTTTTTAAGGAGGGGAGAAGCTGAAACAGATTTCATGTATTGTCTCTGTTCTGTGTCAGCTGCAGTGGGTAGAGTCACCTCCAAAGAAAGTTAGTGCTGGGAGGTTACGCAGTGGTGACAGCTTAGCCCTCTCCGGCCGAACGGTGCGTGTTACTAACCACTGTGCCAGCTGTTTGCTTTGAAGTCCATTTCATGTTTGCCACAGACTGCCCAAGCATAAGCTGCTGTGTGTGTAATACCTACTTCACAAGGATTCTGCGAAGATGTAGTCATTCTAAAGAGGCATTCGAGATCAGTGAGCACGGTATTTTAGTTTTGTTGCCACATAATGGATTAATTAACAGTGCTGCAAAGAGAATATTTCCTTAGAAAGGCTGGGCACCTTTTAATTAAAGCTGGACTTTTACCAAGTTTTTATTTATTTGAAGGCCACGTTCTGGAGTCCTTGGCACATGCACTCTGTCCAGACACTTGGAAATAACAGGAAGGATCTTTTCATGGCAAGTAAGGACGCTTCCTCGCAGAGAGAAACACGACAGAACACGGAAGTAAAGCCCCCCGCACACTCCATCCTAGGAGGGCACCAGCCTTCACTGACGATGTCCCTTTTATTAAAGCTTTGATGGGGAAACATGGCGCATAAAAAAACCAATGAAATTGAAGATGCCCATCTTTCATCACGTTGTCCTGTGCGTTGTTTCTTACCCATTTATTCTGGTCTTTGTTTCTCTCTGAGTGAACTTTGAACTGTTTTCTGATGTTTGCCAATAGTGAGATGATCAGTGACCTGCAGTGAGACTGGAAATACTGCACACACTGAGCTGTGAGTGAGTGCATTTTGCCTAAAGAAAACCTGAAATACCACATGGGTTTCTACCGTTCCAACATCGTGACTGATACCTGGTTCCTCCAGAGGGAAGGAGGTCGCTTCCTTCCCAGCTCTACTAGCACCCTTAGTGGAGCCTGTCCCGCTAGGGCAAGTGCACATGCACTGCGGTTCACCAGAAAAACGAGATGAGGTCTTGACCTGACCAGTGACTTACTGACCAAGGTCCTGCCTCTCCGCGTTAGCAGTCCCTTAAAAATTTCAGTTCTCCAAAGACGGTGACAGTTGCACTGAATGACATCCTTACATATGAACTGCATGGACCTTCAGCCACGCTGCGATCCTGGAAGGCACCTTCATCAATATGTGAAATAAGCCTGGCCAATAACCTCAAAGATCTGTACATTTTCCTTCAGCTGAGACGTATACTGAGTCTGCACTGCCAGTCTGGCACAATTCTCTTAATACAGAATAGTCTTGTCAAGCTGAGGATTATTTTTAGTATTATAATGGAGAAAATACTGGGCTTTTTGCTGTTCCAGATGTTCCCTAGAGACACAGCTGCTCAATACATTTTAGTGTACAATATATCAGCCACGTTACAGCTTGAAGCGAAATTTTCAATAGAGCAGAACTGCCTGAAACTGGGGCCTGTAAAAGCACTTGCACTTTACAAACCAGAATTGTAGTAGAGTGCTTTTAAAAACCAACCCTCCAATGTTACGTAGGCTCGTTGAAAAAAATATCAGCGGTAGCTAAAGTGAAAAAAACCCAACAAACCATCCCTTGCCTCACACTTCAGAAATTAATCTGAACTTGTTCAGAGCAGAAATCCACGAATCTGAGATGTGGGATTGCACTGACAACGAAGTTAAACTGAAGGTGTTTTACTCTCAGTGTTCTTCTACATAGAATCATAGAATCACTAGGTTGGAAAAGACCTTAGAGATCATCCAGTCCAACCATATCTGTCCGCCACTAAACCATATCTCTCAGCACCTCATCCACCCGTCTCTTAAACACATCCAGGGATGGTGACTCCACCACCTCCCTGGGCAGACTGTTCCAGTGCATGATAACCCTTTCGGTGAAGAACTTCTTCCTTACGTCCAAAACTTCTTCCTTACGTCCAAAAGGAAGGAACATTACATTGTTATTTATTTACGAGTTTCCTAACCTTTTGATGGTCCTTGAGCTCTCATATCATTATAAGACATGTGGGGCAGCCCCTGTTAGAGCAGCCTTCTGTAAGTAAATACAGTGACTTCCTAGGCTGGTTCTTCCCCCCGCTTTATTAGAAGAAGAGGAGACGCTGTATTCTGTTGTTTTACTTCCTTGCTTTGCCAGAGGCACGGAACTAGCTAAAATTCGTCCAGCAGGAAGGAGGAGGTGGATGCATGCATGGTACACTTGTGTACATTCAGGCATTGTGCAAACCAGCCCAGGCCACATGCTTTTCATTGCACGCACGTTCACAACCACTGTTTTGCATTCAGTCGACTGCCAAATGGCCCGCAGACAGAGTGGACCCCTCTTGATCAAGCACCCAAAGGAAACTACTCCTACACTAGAACACATCACCATGTTACAGCAGCCCGACCGCTGGCACGGTCTGAACCAGGAGCCCTGCCTCCTGATGTCAGTGTAAGGACCCAGCGGATTCTGATGCGTCGTCACTGAGCTTTGCATGCCTCCCTTTTTATGTAGGGCCATTAACTCAGTGCCAGAAGAGCAGGGCAGATACAAGCCATAGCTTCATCTCGGCATTTCAGACTCCTATTTATATACAACACAATATATGGGTTTTCATATGCTGCCAAGAAATCAAGTTGGGGAAAAAAGGGCACAAGAACTTCTCATCTGCAAGTCAGTTTGAATAACAGCTTGTTAAAAAAGAACTTTGAAATGTAAATAGCAGTTTCTGCAAAGCCTATTAATAGTTTCAGTAACTGCACTGCTCAGTGGCTCGGTGTTACAGACGTGTCTAAGTTTGCTCCTCAGCAGGGGAAAAGCCAGTTGTGCTTCCCTGACGTCCCAAGTGGCAGAGCACACACTCCCTCACCACTGCGGCACAGGCTGAAATGCTGAGCTCATGTTTGGTCTTTTGACAAATTTTCGTTTAATGAATTGATTCCTACAGTTCATTAACATATCCACTTCCACTTCTGTATACACATATGTCTTAATTAGCTGCTCATTGGCTGTTTAATTACAAGAAAACAGCTGACAGCTGCCTTGCTGCATCCTAATGGCAGGCCTTTTGGAATGACTGTATGCAAGCCTGTGACAACAAAGGCTTACTCATAATCCCATGATTTATGGCTAATACGTAAAGACTTCCATGTATCATTAAGTTTTGCATTATTCTGAGCAATTAACAATTAGTTGGGGGGGGCTCACTCTTCTACTGTTTTCTAAAGCAAACTATTGCAAATTTTCTTCAAAGAAACACCAGAAAAACACACTGTCATATGAAAGACAGGTGACCATTCAAACTGGATTTTTAACCCTCTAGCAGTGAGCACGTGTTTTAGTTGTAAAGGGAGGAGAGCGCTGTGACAATACTGTGGAATGAACTTTGTTAACAAGGTATTTGGTAAGAAAGTTACAGTGTCGCTGCATGGCCAGTTCCACACAGACGGGAGCCAGACCGTATCAGGTTATCCCTGGCTTCTGACGAGCTTTTTCTGTAACATGGCCATCTCTTTGCTAGCATGTGTTGCTTGGAAGTGGCTAGGCAAAATATTGAGAAAAACTTCAAGAGCCTGAATTCAAGGTAAACGTTTGCCATGCCAACGTGACGCTCCACGTTCAACAGGGTAATGAGAAGTTGGCTAGGAAAGGGAATGAATGAAACTTGTGAACAAAAGTAACGCCAGGTGGAAGGGAGAGTGCAGCAGGCATTGACAAGCACAGCCCTTCCGTGTGGTTACAGTGAACAAGGCTGTGTCGGGCCTTAGGAGACACAAGAGACTAAAGGCGGTACCTGTAAAGCCCTGAACGTGTGAGAAGTCTACAGTCAAGTAAAGAGAGGGAACACGAATAACACATTTGAGGGTCACTTGGGCATGAACTAACACCGCTGAGAGCAAAAGCAAGTAACTGCATCTGCAAATTAAAAGAGTTGATCAACAAAAACTTCATTTCAAACTAAACGCTTCTCTATGTCCTTCTGAAGCATTCAGGTATTTTCTGACCACGATGAACTGGATTCAGCTTTCAGTTAGGCAAAAAAAACACGGATGCGTACAGACCAGCATGTCCTTTCGCAGCACGGCCCCTAATGTAGCGCGTGAGGTTGTTAACGGGTTCCCACAACCAACGGTTGAAGAAGCGCTCCATACAGATACTGGGTTTTTCAGTAGTTCTGCTACAACACTAGCATTTCCAGTCTTACGCAGGAGAACAACCTTTTATTTCTGAGCCGTGGTACAGTCTCTGTGTCATTCTTCATCCATGCTTCCGAGCAAAAGTCTCGTATGATTAACCTCATCTTCCCTTTCCCCCATTATATGCTGTGTACAGGGTATCAGCAGTGGTCAGATAGAAAAAAACCCTCCCTTTTCAAATGTACTTATAATAAGCCACAGCCTCCCTAGGTAAAAGTATAAAACAGAGCCTGGCTACAATATTTTTTTTTCCACTGGGGGAGAGAAAGAGGAGAGGGTGTTACATTTTATTTTTTAAAGGCAGAGTCAAACTCAGCTAAATAGGTCAATGGGTTGGGAGTAGTCGATGTGTGTGCAAAAAAACACAGGCACTAGCTTCATAAAACCAGCCAGTAACATCGCAGCAAGGTAGGAAATGAAAACTTCTCAAGAAACACTAACTGGCTTCACCACAGATCTTCAATTCCAGTTATGTGAAATGCAATATAACAACAAAAACCGATCAGAAAGCTTTTGATTATGCGAAACGCAAGGGTCACAAACCTGTAGAAGAGAAACTGGATCAGTGAAAGGCAATTTGATGGGAGCTGTTTCATACATGATACAGATTAAGATTGCAAAATAGGTTTTAGCAACTAAAACTTCACCTCAGATTTTAAATTAATTGTATTTCTGGTGGTTATTAGTATTCACACAGTGACACTTAACACTACTGTTAAGTAACATTAAAGTTCACACCAAACTGGAGCAAAAAACAGTAAGGGCTGAAAACATCCCACTTTGCCTCTGCTGCTACTGCTGCCTGTAGATCATTCTTGACAGGCCTGGCTTGAGAGGGCAGCAGCACATCTGTTCACTCCTGATGACGAAGGCCCCGCTCCTGCCATCTGATGCGCATGGATGGATCTGCAGCACCTGTGCAGAACCTCTCTGACTTCTCTGGTTGGTCCAGGAATCAGAGCACAGGACTGGGAACTGCGTCTTCAGAGCAAAGCACTTCACAAAGGAAGGTTTAGCACAACATGAAGCGCAATGTAAGCATGCTCAAACCTGCAGAGATCATAGCCACAGAGAAGCTGGGAAAAAAAGTACCAACACGCACCTGGCTCATTTGGCAGAAGCCAAGCTATGCCAACTTCTTCACCAGCCAAAATAGTTCTGTTGGGCGAGACTTTGTTGACATTACTGTGGAGGAGCATAGCACAAACAAACCCCATCTGCTACAGTAGGGCATTTAAAATGCTGTCTAGGCTGTGATCATTTGCACTTCCCTGTGACTTGTGCCCACCAGCACTCCCCTATCTGTCACTGCTTGCAGGTCAGCTGGGCTCTGGCATTAAACAAGTAAGCTTCAGAGTTCTTTCCCTCCTGAAAGGGAAATAACCTGGTCAACTTAAATTGATATTCGTTGGCTTTACAATTCTGCCTGAAGTTGTATGGCTAGGAAACCTTATTCTGCTACTCCCTGAGAAGGAGGTAATGCCTCACTTCATTCACTGGGCCATTGTCTTATTTATTCACGTGCACATTGCTGTCAAGGCTCAGCTGGGTTTCGGTGTGCTGAGCCTGTACATGCCTGCTTGCCTTCCCTTCTGCCCTTTGCCACCAGCTGACCATTCTGGTGGGATTCTCAGCAGCAGACAGGATTGCACCAGAGCTCCCAGAAAACTGACTTTATATGGAATTCGAAGGCAAACCATTTGTTCTAAAACATAAGGAACTGCACATGCATTTCTCGCTATCAGGCCAGCATCTCTTGTCCTGACTGCTGGGGGTACATAACGGACTTCTAATAACTCAGGTTTGCAGTTATTCCCGATAAAGCACAGTCACTGGTGGAGGAATGCCCAACGGATACGTCTGTCTCCTACCCGCAGTGCTAAGTGCCTACCAGCTATGTGCTAATGAATGTGACTGAGTACGGTGCGCTCTTCTGCTTCCTTTTGCATGCAGTCGTCCTGCTGCTTTTGCTGAGGGCTTTTTTCACCCACAGGCCTTAGGAGAAGGCAAGGCCAAAGAACTGCATGAAGATGAAGCAGAAGATACTACGGCTGGCAACCTTCCTTTCCTTTGGCAGCCTGTTCCTGTTCTGCAGCAAGCCCTGGCGAGAAGGGCCGGCCTTCTGCGTAGAGGAGTGTTAGCATTACGCTAACCTCAGTCTGTTGACAACGGTGTTTGCCGTGGATCTTGAGGCCATCTCTCAGGTGTGCTGGCCCCAGACCATTTAAGGCTTAAAGAGGTCTCGGCCTCGAACATAACTTGATATTCTCTGACAAGACAGTCATAGAGCAGAATTCCCACTGCGAATGTCTGCCCCTTCACACAGCTGAAGTCTGACAGACGCTGCTCAACCACATAAAGCTGAAAAAAGGAACCACTTCATAATCAATGCATTTGTAGCGCACTTCTTGCACTTTCCCTAGCAACAGCAGTTACAAAGGGCTGAAGGTGCTGTCCTATATAATTTTAAAATCTTAGGTATTTTTTTGTTTGTTTGTTAACTTCCTTCCTACCTATACTTCCATGAGTCTGAGGGAACGTGTTAAAGCAAACACAAAAAACTTCCTTGGAGAAACACAAAAGAAGTCTCTATAATGTGAAAGCAAGGAAGTTGCTTTTTGAAGACGGGTGATAGTATCAGGAACTTCAGGAGTGCAGAATGAAAACTGTCAAATATAAGTTCTTCCCACCTGAAGTGCAGAGTGGCAAACCTATCAGCATGGGATTGCAGCACGTACGTACATGAAGGAAGCAGCAAGCCAGAGGACAGCTGTGCGCACTGTGTCATTCCCAAGCTAGCGCTGTAATTCTGCGCCAGCGACAAAAAGGAGTGATTAGCTTCGCGGCACTCGGGCCTAGTGTTAGCGCTGTCCCATTTAATTCTGTGTTGTGAGGGACAAACTAAGCAGAAGACAAATCCTTCTAGTGTAATCTTTGTTCACTGGTGTTACGGAAGCTATGAACCCAGGAAAAAATCCAAAGCTTAAGCCTTACACGGCAATGGTTGCACTGCAAGGAATAGGCACTGCCTCCAGGTTAACACCAGTAGCGTGTTATTTGTGCAACATCACCTTCCGTAGCAAACAGATTTGTAACTAGCAGATTGCAAAAGAAAACTGAGAAGACAGAGCTCTCACATATTTTCACACAGCTTCTTAGCAATTTATAAAGCAAAACACAGAGGGAGATTCAAGGCAGACACAAACTCCCTCTCAAGTGAATCCACAGAAAAGATTCTTTGTGGTATGCGAAAAGCACATCATCTTTCTGTACCTCTCCTGCTTATTCACAGTTTACAGCACACACAGCACAACTGCATGAGTTTTGAAGCTTGTCCTGAAATAAATATGTGTATGTGTGCGTGTCAGAAGTACCCTATTTAAAACCCCACTAAACCCAGTACTTCAGAATCCCCAATTGATTTTGCATTCTTCGAAAAGGAATCTCCAATCCACCTTTAGCTCAATGCTTGCTCTTTGAAAAAGGAAGGGAAAAAAAAATCACTATCAAAAGGCTAAATGCTGTTTTAAGACTTAATATTTTAGAAGCTTACCTTGCAGCCTTCACATGTAATGACACCATAATGGATTCCTGATGATTTGTCTCCACAGATCTTGCATGGAATAATTTCAATTTGAGCTGCAACAGAAGCACGCAACCAGTTAATTACATTTTCTTTTAAACACCTTATAAAAGCATTCCCTGATCAGCATTTGTACAGTGAAAACTAATAACCTGCTAAACATTATACTGCATTAACTATTCATTGCTGAACTGCAAGGGTCCCCTAGAGCTTTGGACTAAATTATGGCTGCTCATTATATAATAGCTTTTGGGTTATTAAAATGGGTCATTTGAGAAGGTGTTTAAGAACCCACAAGAAGGCTAGAATCAGCATTTCAAAGCCAAAAAGAATAGGACAGTTTACATTTTGGCCAAAGAGTTAAGACAACACTAGAACGGCTTCTTCCAATCTTATTCCTGTGAGATTGTGAAAGGAATTGTGAAGTTTGCCCTGCCTGAAAAGGAATGGAGCACCTTTACCAGATGACACCATCATGCCATCCAGCTCACGTGACTGGCCAATCCCAAAGAGAAGCAGCAAGGTAAACAGCAACTGCATTGTACACAAGAAATCCAAAATTCACCTCTCCGAACTGAAAGCAAATTATCAGTACGTGTTTGTATTAGTTGCTGCAGAACAAATGAGGGAGGAAAATACAGCAGTATTCTAGTCAGCTTACAAAAACCAAAGGAGTCGGGGTGCAGTCTGGAAAATGCCACAGCGCCCCGATATGAAAGCCCCAATTCTTTAAAATTAAACTTCACACGTAACACGTGACAACATCCGAAATCGCATCTATTACTCTCTTAGAGCGCACTAGCTTAGCTCCTGTTGTGTTCCTAATGCTGCTTTCAAAAAGTCACGGCCCCTCTTACAAACACTGCATTTCCCATGCCATTCAATCCTCAACCAACTGCTCATTATTCAACAAAAATCCTCTTCTGATGCTACTCTCCACTCCATTTCACTGCAGCCCGACATCATAGCTCAGGATCAGGCTCGAACTTAACTATAAAACAGAAGAGCAGAAGACTTTTGGCACGGCACTGACTGTGCTAAAATACTCCTTCAAAATCCTCCCCGGCTGACATCGGATGCAGTGACCGGCGCAGCTGAGTAGTAACCGAACAGCACCCGTTTGCTCCCAGGAACATCACAGCAGCTAAAACACTGTGCTGAGGAAAGCAGCGCCCGCAGACTACAGTGCTCTCCTCCTGACAGTTCTGTCTCAGCAGCTTTCAAAATATTTTCATACAGCAGGGCACCACTTGCATCTGCTTCCATCATAAGGATCTTCGCGTTCGTGGCCTTTAATCCCCCACCTTCCCTGCAGCAACAAAACGATAGGCTGAAACAAAAGTCTGTTCAGGGTGCTCAAGAAAGGAAATACTTCCCTACAGTCCCACAAAAACTGTTCTAATTTCACTGTGCTCTCAGCTAACACATGAAACACAGTGGAGCAGGAAGCCAGCTAATAAGAGGGAAAAATAATGTACGCTATTTTATTAATGCGTTGCATTAATTGCTACTAGAGCTTCATATGTTTATGCACAATGCTTGGAGTGGGAAGGGCAGCATAACCCCACTTTACCTCAACAAATCCAACAACAGGCTGAGGTCCACAGAAACTCAGAATTGGTGTCACATGCCGTTCAGATGCTGAGAGCAACCCTGTGGGCAATTCCAGAACAGATCCACCATTCCCAGTTGCGCCTTTTGCATGTATGATCATTTTTCTACTCTGCTACAGTGAACCAGCAGCCTTCTCCACTCCTTTGACAGGGCAGTGACAAGGTTTATCTCAACAGCTACATGGCAATGTATTTTTCACACTTCACTTTTATGTACATAATTACTGCCTTATTTTGAATAGGTATGATATAATTGGATCTTGTTTATCTACAATCTCCAGCGCATTAGGTAAATCACCCATGAAGCCTGTCTATGCAATCCCTATTTTTTGAACAACAGCACATTTGCTGAGTGTTTCTGGAGGAAGGTAACACGCCTTCAAAGTGATGGCCTAAAGCTAGGTTACTGATAGTCTAAAAGGTGCCATAATTAGTCCCAAATGCCTTACTCGGAGAGGAGAATCTCCATATATTCACAGGCTCCAGCTGTGCCAGCATTTGCCGACCACTGTGTCTATGTACCAAATGAGGTATTATTTTAGAATTCCAGATTTCCTCGAATTTACTGCATCTTCAAGGTGCTCCGTTTCATTGAAGCAGGCAGCATTTAAAACACCAACCTGTCATTTCACTCTGAGATACAGGACACTGGGATGAAAGGCAGAAGTGAAACACGCTTGGGACTGCCACAACCAATTGTATTCCAAATTAATGTGCGGAAAGACATCAGATCAATTACTGCTGCACGTGGTTGCCTCTGCAAATCAATTCCTTGAAATGGAATCCCTGCCGCAAGTTCATACTTTCCATGCAGCATGAAAGGCCTTAGATACTTTAAACATACTCAATGCAAATTGCCTGTGCCAAGATTATGCATTTTTCTTACCAGGGTGAAAATATTTTCCCCACTTTTAACTTTGACATGCAAATATGTACTTGCTAAAACCTTGTTCTTATGCAAACAAGGCAGGTGGGAAATACTTTTACATGTCAAGAATATGTTCCAACTTGGTTTCTCACATTCCCAGAGTTACTTAAAGCTTCCTACTGTGCTCACGTTAATTGTACCTGGTCTGTGCTTACACATATTTATATGCTATGTTTTCCAAGACTATATAAAATACTCTAATTCATGCTTTAGACTAGAATTAGCCTAAATTACAGTTTACAATTTCTGTCTCCTGGGGTGGTGCTCAGGCTGATTCTGGTTCATACATGAGCAAATTATTTCTCAAATATGAATTGCAGAAAAAAAATAAACTCTTGTGGTTGCTTAGAAACCGCTACAGATACACAGGTGACAGATGTAGTTTATATTACCAGATTAAAGGCCTAAGAATCTTTCACACCCTGAAATAACAGTGCTCCAGAATACTACCAAGGGTGTCCTCTGTCAAAGGCAGCGATGAATAGGAATAAAAGCCCAAACAGACCACCAAGAGCAACACATGCAAGCTCAAGCACAGAGCAAGTTGCTACAGAAACGGCTCCTGAGAGACACAAGTGACCATTAAGGGCCGGAGGTAGCAGCTGTTATGAACTGATGTTGGACACAAGGCAAAGTTGTCTCCATAGGAAACGGCATCTGACCTCATGAAGATCTCTCAGTATATGTGACTGACATGTAGCTACAACTATCCGGAGTGTGTAGTGTTTCTTCTGCTGTAATGCCGTATTATCTTCATTTTACAGCAGGAGGATTGAGTGCAGACTCAGACGTGCTCAAGATCAGACAGGACAGGAACTTGAGCCAAAGTATTACTGGGGAAAACGTATGTGTGTTTTTCCCCTGATCCTTTCTTCTTCCTCCATCCACTGTATCTTCACTTGGCAACTGTCTGAAGAAACACTGGTATGCTTAAATGACACAATTGCTTCCACCTGATTCCCAGTGAACATGCCTACTAGACAACCAGAGGACGCACCAAACAACATCTGTTGGCATCCGGAACCCAAGAATGTGCCTTATTCCCTCCTACTCCAAACCTTCCTTCTTTCCCCAAGTTTGAAACAGTTTCACTGGGCCTGCCTGCGTTTTTCAAGCTCCCTCCCCCAACCAACCCCTCTAGACAGCCTCTCCCTCTTTATTAATTCCCACATGGTGAAATGCTGCTTTATTCCTTGCCTGGTTGGAGCAGCAGAGGAGGAAAGAAATCTAGTTCTGTGTCTGGAAGGCAATGCTCTGCACAAGCTCACCACAGCCTTAGGTTCTTCTTCCTTTCTGACTCTTTGGGCAGACTCCAATCAGGACAAGAGCCCATACAGTCAAGTAAAGCAGGGGGCATCTTTGTCCCCAGTTGGGCCATTTCAGTAACACACGGGGCCTCTGCCCAGGAAAGTGTACTGCCAGTCCACCCCAAAGATAATATTTTTCAAAAGAAAAAAAATCATTTTCCAAAGACAGAAGTTTTTTCCTCCCCATTAATGTGACTAAATGAAACATTTGTTTGTAGCAAATTAATTGTCTTGGGGTAGAGCAAGGATTTTCCCATTCCTCCTCTTGCTGTCACAGTTATTTTAAAATTGTATATTCACACAGATCACGTTATTTTTTTCCCCATTCGCATCAGGCATGAAAACTCTGATTTGGTATCCTGGGAAGGGCTCTTCGATGGAAGCAAAAACTGTTCCTCATTCCTGCCCTTCAGGTGAGATTCACCCAGCTGACCTGAGCTGTCTTGAAAGTTGGGCAATTAGCTGAATTTAATTGTCCTGTCTAGTGATAAGGAAAGGAGGAAGAAGGAGAGACGAACAGAAAGGGAAGTAGAAAGAGAAGGTGAGACAGAAAAAGGGAGAAGGCATGATTCATCTTGCTCAAGACAAACGAGATGAACCCCTGAACGGAGGTGCTTCCTCCTCACTCACCAGAGGAGGACTTTAATGATACCTTAATCAGAAGCCTAACTTTTAGAAAGTGAAAGTCAGGTGAATCCTACTGCCTCTTGCTATTTCTAAATTTAAACGCACCACTTTCTAGAAAGGAAAACCTATGTAGGAAGCGCTCCCTTCCCCCACTGTAGCACACGGGGTCCCAGATGCCTGTGTACGCTGGCACCGTTGAGGTAAAAGCATGCTATGGAGTTCCCCATCGCAGCTCCCACCCTTCAGCTCTCAGGGCAGCAATATCGAGAAATGTTCCTGATGAAATCCCTCTATGAAATTCCAGGTGTACAACTTCCTTTTTCACTCAGTAGGTGGTGAACATAAGCACGTACTGGTTAATCTGCCAGACTGGTCTCAGTTTCTTAAAACCTCTGTGGGCACTGAGCGTCCCGCTCTGATCCACTGGCTTTCTGGGGAAAGCACCCTAACCAGAACCGCAAGGCGAACTGAGGACTTTCCTCGAGGCTAGATGTACATACAACAGCCAGGACTGCAGATGGGATCTCCTGGGTACTGCTGAAGAAGTTATCCCTTCTTTGACTGCAAGAAAGGCTTAAACTCCTTTCCCTGAACATGGCTCGCCTGTCCCCCACTTCCCAGGGTATGCACTATTTTGCAGCTTCAAAATAAAGATGATACATATACAAGTTGGGCTAACCTGCTTCTAAAGGGAAGCAGTTTGTGCCAGACATCACTGCTAGTGCTGTTTGCAAGTATATTGATTAAATTAGGAGGCATACATATTCACTGACATATTCATACATATTCATTGACTCAAACAAGGGTACTGCATGTAATGTGGTATTTAAAGTAACATAATATCTGATCACAAACTGAATTAACAAGGAATGATTTTACTATATAATATTCTAATCTTCCTGCATTTTCAGCTTCATTACCTAAATAATTTGCTCTGTCGTGTACCCTAAGTAATTTGAGCTGGCTGCAAATTACTCGCCTCCGAACACCTGCAGCTTACGAATGCGGCAATTCCACAAAACTGAAAGCTAATGGCAGCGCAGCTCTGCCTGTTCCATTAATATA